TAATTTTTTTACAGAGAGCATTGACTTGCTCTTGCTTTAGTGTACAGGTTGTGCACCAAAAGCACACAGTATGGTTGTTAAATGGGTCTTAAAGGGGGCATGGTCTCTTATTGTATCTCTGAACCATGTACAGTTTTATGACGCAATAACACAGAAAATTCTTTGACCTGAGCTAAAAAGTCAGATAAGAATGTGAAAGAACTACAAAATGAAGACAGACTGAAGAAGAAAGGAGAAAAGGGAATATGTTTTTTTTTTGTTTTGTTTTTTTACTGGTGAGCTTATTGCACCATCATTTGTCCAAGAGGAAGAATATTAGTTCCATAACTTGAAGAAAAAAAAAAACCATACACTACCGGTCAAAAATTTGGACACACCTTTTCAATTTAATGTTGTTTTTTTATTTTCACGACTATTTACATTGTAGATTCTCACTGACACATCAAAAGTATGAATGAACACACATGGAGTTATGTTAGTAAACAAAAAACTGTGAAATCACTCAAAACATGTTTTATATTTCAGATTCTTTAAAATAGCTTCCCTTTGCTTTGATTACTACTTGGCACACTCTTGGCATTCTCTCAGTGAGCTTCATGAGGTCGTCACCTGAATTGGTTTTCCAACAGTCTTGAAGGAGTTCCCAGAGGTGCTGAGCACTCATTGGTCCGTTTGCCTTCACTCTGCGGTCCATCCCATCCTAAACCATCTTGATTGGGTTTAGGCCTAGTGTGAGCCAGTTTTGTCATAGCGCTTGATAGTTTTTGCAACTGCACTTGGGGACACATTCAAATTTTTTGCAATTTGCTGGACTGACTGACCTTCAGTTCTTAAAGTAAGGATTGACTGTTGTTTCTCTTTACTCAGCTGATTGGTTCTTGCCGTAATATGAATTCTAACAGTTATCAAATACGGCTGTCAGCTGTGTACCAGCCTGACTTTTGCACAACACAACTGATGGTCCCAACCCAGTTATGAAAGCAACAAATTCCAGAAATGACCCCTGACAAGGCACACCTGTGAAGTGAAAAAAACATTTCAGGTGACATGTCTGTGAAGGTTCTCAGTCATCCAGGTCATTGTAGTCTAAGGAGCTTGGAAAGAAAAAGCATCTGGACTTCTTTAAATTGCTTGAAGAAGTTTCACCTCTCATCCGAGAAGCTTCTTCAGTTCTAGGGTCAAATGGTGGAGAGTCTCCGATATCTCCACCCCCCCC